TAGCTCACATATGTCAAGAGAAGAAAAATATATACTTCATACACAGTAAATTCCCTCTTCCTTTATTTGCAAAGGTGTCTAATTACCTTCAGTTTAGTTCCAACGCCATCTGTTCCAGAGGCCAGAAGAGGATCTTTGAAACCAGCTGCTTTCAAATCAAAGAGACCAGCAAAACCTCCAAGATCAACGTTACAGCCTGTTGAAGAGGAAATTAATTACTTGTTGCATTTTAAAAGAGTAGCTAAACATGAATGTAAATATTGCTTTTTCATAAGAATAGTTAAAACAAGAGATTTATTTCCTGAGTATGGAAGACTGTACCATGTGTGCAAAGAATTGATCAGAAAACTAACTGAATATTAAAGGGGCATATATATCCTTTTGAGTTTAACATATAGATAAGAAATACTTTCCTGTCGGGCTCAGTGGCTCAGCCTGTAATCCCGCACATTGGGAGGCCTAGGTGAGTGGACTGCCTGAGCCCACGTGTTCGAGACCCGCCTGGGCAACTTGGTGAGAGACCTCATCTCCAAAGTAAACCAAAAAATTAGCCGGGCATGGTAGCGCGTGCCTGTAGTTCTAGCTACTTGGAAGGCTGAGGCGGAAGGATCGCCGGAGCCCAGCAGGCCAAGGCTGCAGTGGCTGGGAGAGTGCCACTGCACCCCAGTCTGGGCGAGAGTGAGACTTCAACTCAAAAAAAAAAAAAAAAAAAAAAAAGAAATGCTTTCCTTAATATATATATGTATTTTTTTTGAGTTGGAGACTCACTCTGTTGCCCAGGCTGGAGTACAGTGGCATGTTCACGGCCACTGCAGTTTTGACCTCCTAGGCTCAGGTGATCCTTCCACCTCAACCTTCCAAGTAGGTGGAACTAGAGGCACGTTACCACACCCGGCTAATTTTTTGATTTATTGTAGAGATGAGGTCTCACCAAGTTGCCCAGGCTAGTCTTGAACCCCTGGGCTCAGGCAATTCTCTCGCCTCAGTCTCCCAAAGTGCTGGGATTACAGGCTTCAGTCACTGTGCCTGGCCTGCTTTCCTTAATATTAAAGAAAGATTATGGGTTTGGCTTAAGTAGGGCAAGATATACAGTAACCTGTCATTAATAAGAAAATTTTTCCCTAGTTAAATATAAAGTCATAACCAATTCACAATGTATATCAAATTAATGAATTAGCAAAGCACAGGATCACTTACCTGATCTCGAAGTGGCTTTGGCTAAAGGCTGAATTTTTTTGACCAACGTATTTCCAGCTGCAATGTCTACCCCAGATTCCTTGTAAGTCAAGCCCCTAACGAATTAAAAGCAAAAACCAAGAAATTAAGACATCATCTAAAAGTCAGAAAAAATTATTTAAATAAAATATTATTTAAGGGAGAAGACATCCCAAGTGATTTTCATGTTGCCTAAAGTGCTTAAAACTTTTAAAAGTCAATATTCAGGCCCCATTCATAGGCTCTGATTCAACTGGTCTAGGGCATGTCCTGAGACATGTTTAAATAATCTCCACAGTTGATTAGATTGCATCATCTCCATTGAGAACCAGTGCTAGCTTAATCACCAATTTCTCCCAGAAGCTCTTATCACAAGCTGCTAAATATACTGATTTTTCTTGAGTTGAAGTCTTACTCTGTCACCCAGGCTGGAGTGCAGTGACATGCTCACGGCCACCGCAGCCTCAACCTGCTGGGCTCAGGTGACTTTCTGCCTCAGCCTTCCAAGTAGCTGAACTACAGACATGCGCTACCACGCCCGGCTAATATTTTGATTTATTGTAGAGACCAGGTCTTGCCAAGATGCCTAGGCTGGTCTTGAATCCATGGGCTCAGGCAAATCCTCTTGCCTCAGCCTTCCAAAGTGCTGGGATTACAGGCTTGAGCCACTGTGCCCGGTCTGATTTTTTTTTTTTTTTTTTGAGTTGGAGTCTCACTCTGTCACCCAGACTGGAGTGCAGTGGCCGCTCCCGGCCACCGAAGCCTCGCCCACTGGGCTCCGGCAATCCTTCCGCCTCAGCCTTCAGAGTAGCCGGAATTACAGTCATGTGCTACCACGCCCGGCTGATTTTTTGATTTATTGTAGAGATGAGGTCTTGCTGCCCAGGCGGGTCTCGAACCTGCGGGTTCAGGCAATCCACTCACCTCAGCCTCCCAAAGGCGTGGGATTATAGGCTGAGCCACCGAGCCCGGCTTCGGTCTGATTTTTAAAGTTATAATTTTTTTTTTTTTTTTGAGTTGGAGTCTCACTCTGTCACCCAGACTGGAGTGCAGTGGCCGCTCTCGGCCACCGCAGCCTCTACCTGCTGGACTCCGGTGATCCTTCCGCCTCAGCCTTCCAAGTAGCTGGAATTACAAGCATGCGCTACCACGCCTGGCTGATTTTTTTGATTTATGTAGAGGTGAGGTCTCGCTGCCCAGATGGGTCTCGAACCCGCAGGCTTAGGCAATCCACTCACTTCAGCCTCCCGATGGCGCGGGATTACAGGCTGAGCCACCGAGCCTGGCTAATTTTTTTTATTTTGGTAAAATACATACAACTTACACTTCACTATCTTTTTTTTTTTTTTTTTTTTTTTGGTTGGAGTCTCACTCTATTGCCCAGACTGGAGTGCAATGGCCGCTCCCGGCCACCGCAGCCTCGACCTGCTGGGATCCGGTGATCCTTCCGCCTCAGCCTTCCAAGTAGCCGGAATTACAGGCATGCGCTACCACGCCCGGTTGATTTTTTGATTTATTGTGGAGATGAGGTCTCGCTGCCCAGGCGGGTCTCAAACCCGTGGGCTCAGGCAATCCACTCACCTCGGCCTCCCAAAGGCACGGGATTACAGGCTGAGGCACCTAGCCCGGCTCACTTCACTATCTTAACCTTTTTTTTTTTTTTTGGAGTTGAGAGTTTCACTCCATTGCCCAAGGTGGAGTGCAGTAGCATGCTCATCACTCCGACCCCAGCATCAACCTGCTGGGCTCTGGTGATCCTTCTGCCTCAGTCTTGCAAGTAGCCAGCACTACAGGTGTGTGCTACCATGCCCAGCTAATTTTTTATTTATTGTAGAGATGAAGTCTTGCCAAGTTGCCTGGGCTGGTCTCAAACCCACGAGCTTAGGCAATACACTTGCCTCGGCCTACCAAAGTGCTGAGATTACAGGCTGAACCACTGAGCCCAGCCTATCTTAACCATTTTTAAGTGAATAGTTCAGTAGTAGTAAACACATTTGTAATCTTATGCACCTATCACCATCATCCATCTACCTTAACATCTTGTAAAACAGAAACTCTGTTCCCATTAAATAGTAACTTTCCACGGACCCCTCTCCCTAGCCTTTGGACAATCATCATTCTACTTTTAAATATACTGATATTTTGCCACATCTTTTTTTGGATTCAATTTAAGTATGGGCAAGAAACAAGGGACAAAACCAAGTAAAAAAAGTGAAAATTAGGGTTATAAAAACTCTACAAAATATCCCTAAATAACCAAACTGAGTTCTTATTGCAATACATAACTAAATCAGTTTCTTTATAGCTGACAGTAAGAAACAAGATCAAACACTATCAAGTGCTTATCAATAAATTTAAACTAGGTTAAAACATTCAGTGAATCATTTCCTTCTATGTAAGGCTGACAAGCTGGAGCAATACATTTAGAGATCAGGTTTGTGAATGACACTGCAAATTCAGTATTCTTGCCTTGTAAAAATGAGAACTTTTGCCTACTGGGATGCAGTAACCCATGAAGAAATATGTGAAGTTTTATTAAAAATAAGCTGGCAGCTTACAATTAAGTTGAGACCACTGGCAGTTTAAAGTCAGCAGCCAGGAGTCACTCTTAGGTAACAAAGTCCTACTGATCTAAAAACTATTTCTCGGGTAGCAATTGGCCTTGTGGCATCTCATTTTGTTTATCTTTAATTTAAAAAATTCAGACTAGGCTGGGCACGGTGGCTCACACCTATAATCCTGGCACTTTGGGAGGCCGAGGTAAGAGGATTGCCTGAGCCCATGGACTCAACACCAGGTCGGGCAATTTGGCAAGATCTCATCTCTACAATAAATTGAAATATTAGTCAGGTGTGGTAGCACGTGCTTATAGTTTCAGCTACTTAGAAAGCTGAGGCAGTGAGGCAGAAGGATCACCTGAGTCCAGCAGGTCGAGGCTGTGGTGGCCATGAGTGTGCCACTGCACTCCAGCCTGGGCAAAAGAGTGAGACTTTGATGCAAAAAAAACAACAAAAAAAAACAAAAACCCAAAAAACAAAAAAAGATTTCAGACTAGATCTGAGATTGTGAGACTGCAGTCTCTTGAAATAGGTCATTTCAATGGAATCTAGTTATTTTCAAGTAAAAAAAAATTTTTAGCATGGCAGTTTACTTGTTCTTAAAGATTTGCTTCTTGCTAACAGTATGGTCTAATTTTGGTTGCTAAAAATTTCTCATTTTGTCCTAAAACATATTTATTACCCATAGATGAACTTAATGAGCAATAGTAAATCTGATATATTCTTAAGAAATCAAAACACCCATATCTGCAACTAATTTTTTATTGATTTTTTCAAGGTAATAGTTACATGCCAACAGTGAATCAGTAAGAGGTCAAAAAAGATATTTCAGTAGTAAATACAAATGTGGTGATAAAATTAAAATGCTAAAATTGACAATATAATCAATTCAAGTTACAAAATTACATGACCAATATTCTCATCTTGAGTTCTTCAAAAACCAGAAACTGCCAGGCATGGTGGCTCAAGCCTGTAATCCCAGCACTTTGGGAGGTGGAGGCAAGAGAGACTGCCTGAGCTCAGGGTTCGAGACCAGCTTGAGCAATACAGCAAGACCTCATCTCTACAATAAATAAAAAAATTAGTCGAGTGTGGTGGCAGTTGCCTGTGGTTCCAGCTACTTGGAAGGCTGAGGCAGAAGGATCACCCAAGCCTGAAGGATCACCTGAGCCCAGCAGGTTGAGGCTGCGGTGGCCATGACCATGCCACTGCACTCCAGCCTGGGTGACAGAGTGAGATTCTGACACAAACAACAACAACAACAAAAACCACAGAAACTATGACTCAAATACAACCATATTTAACTTTGACAACTCAAAAACAAACTATGACTCAAATACAATCATATTTAACTTTGACAACCCAAATATCACTATGATGTTGCTAAACTTTTCAAACATAAGAAACTATCATTAAGTTTTTTTTTTCCATTTAATTTGAATACTGCTTTCATGTGAACCAGTTTTTGAATTACATGAAATACAATCCAAGATCAGATCAGTCCCATAGAGAAAAAAGAATACAGAATGACTAGTATAGGTTAGCAAATTTTTCTACAAAGCCATTTAGGCCAATTCTGAAACTGTACTTTACCTCAGTAAGAGATTTTACCTGGGCTGCTGGAGGAAAGCTATGGCACGAAATCCAATATCCTTTCTATAAACTGCTCCCTCAAAATTTATAGTAGCTAGTCCTTTCTTGGCTTCTTCAAGGGCTGAGATGAGGTTTTCCCGGATGGCTGTGACTGCAAGGACTCTACCTCCACTGGTTACTACTTTGCCATCTTTGAGAGCAGTGCCTGCATGGAACACCTCCAGTCCTAAAGCTTTAGCCTCAGGAAATCCTGGAAGAGAGCATATTCGACATATGATCTGAAATAACAGTATTTCACACTGTGAGTTGATTTACAATTTCTACAAGTTAAAAAAAAAAAAATCTCTACTGCATTTAAATGATTCTTTGCAAGAATCCTATTAGGCAGGAAATTAACACAATATAATAGTTATAATATAAGCCCTTTCTCCTAAGAACCATCTGTTCTGTCCTAGAGTGACAGCCTAAACATTTCTACTACTATAAAACTGAGTGTTTAAAAAAAACTACTTTATTTTATTTTATTTTAGAGTTGGAGTCTCACCGTCGCCCGGACTGGAGTGCAGTGGCTGCTCCCGGCCACCACAGCCTCGACCTGCTGGGCTCCGGCGATCCTTCCGCCTCAGCCTTCCAAGTAGCTGGAACTACAGGTGCACACTACCACGCCCGGCTAATTTTTAAAAATTTATTATAAAGATGAGGTCTCACCTGCCCAGGCAGGTCTCACACCTGCAGGCTCAGGGAATCCACTCACCTTAGCCTCCCAAAGGCGGGGGATTACAGGCTGAGCCACCGAGCCCAGCAAAAAAAACTGTTTTAATGAGGGAAGAGAGAAAAAGAGGTTAAGGCCTGAAAAGTTTAAGATTTAAAAGTATAGGTATTTTTAGCATGCTTGTAGTTCCAGCTACATGAAAGGCTAAAGCAGAAGGGCAGTCTGAGTCCAGCAGGTCGAGGCTGTGGTGGCTGTGAGCGTGCCACTGCCCTCCAGCCTGGGCAATGGAGTGAGACCAACTTAAAAAAAAAAAAGATAGGCATTTTTTCTCAAAGGAATTAAAAATTAAAATCAGGCCGGGTGTGGTGGCTCATGCCTGTAATCCTAACACTCTGGGAGGATGAGGTGAAAGGATTGTCCAAGTCCAGGGCTTCAAGACCAGACTGGGCAAGTTGTTGAGACCTTATCGCTACAATAAATAAAAAAATTAGCTGGGCACAGTGACACATGCCTGTAGTTCCAGCTACTTGGAAGGCTGAAGTGGAAGGATCACCTGAACCCAGTAGGTCGTGGCTGTGGTGACTGGGAGAGTGCCACTGAGACCCCGACTCAAAAAAAAAAGAAAGAAAATAAATAAAATTAAATGAATAAATCCTGCATTTGACAAAAAACTATCTTTTCAAATGTTTTAGAGCTGGGGTCTTGCTCAGTTGTCCAGGTTGGAGTGCAGTGGTGCAGTCCTGAATTTCCGAGCTCAAGTGATCTTCCTGTCTCAGCCTCCCAAGTAGCTAGGACTACAGTTGCAAGCCACTGTACTCAGCATCCATCTTTTACTTAAGAGTAAGGGAATTAGCTGGGCTCGGTGGCTCAGCCTGTAATCCCGTGCTTTGGGAGGCTGAGGTGAGTGGATTGCCTAAGCCTGTGGGTTAGAGACCCGCCTGGGCAGCTTGGTGAGACCTCATCTCTACAATAAATCAAAAAAATTAGCCGGGTGTGGTAGCGCGCGCCTGTAGTTCCAGCTACTTGGAAGATTGAGGCGGAAGGATCGCCGGAGCCCAAGCGGTCGAGGCTGCGGTGGCTTCCTGTCTGGGCAACAGAGTGAGACTCCAACTCAAAAAAAAATAAAAAAAAGAGTAAGGGAATTTCTTCTTATTAGTCATTTAAGTAAAGCTGCTGTCTTAAAAAAAAACACAAAAACCAACGAGATCATTGCAATTCAAAACATATTCTTTTTTTCCCCTTGAGTCAGGTTCTTACTCTGTTGCCCTAGGCTGGGAGTAGTGGCATGATAAGCTGTAGCCTCCACCTACTAAACTCAGGTGATCTTTCCACCTCAGCCTCCTGAGTAGCTGGGAATTCAGGCACACACCACAAAGCCCGGTTAAATTTTTTCTTTTTTTGTAGAGATGAAGTCTTGCTATGTTGCCTAGGCTGGCCTTAAAACTCCTGGGCTCAAGCAATCCTTCCGCCTCAGCCTCCTAAAGTGCTGGGATTACAGGCGTAAATCAGTGTGCCCAGCCTAAAATATATTCTTAAATAATCTTTTTCCTAATATGTGTAAAATGTTAAGACAGATTTGACTTACAGCAAGTGTTGGGGTTAGCCTCAAATCTCTGATTTTTCTTTCAAATTATTTTTGAGTTCTGATACATAACTTTACACTTTGTCTCTTTTTTTGACTTGAAGCCTCTCTCTGCCGCTCAGGCTGGAGTGCAGTAACACACAGTAGCCTCGACCTGATGGACTCAGGTGATACTTCTGCCTCAGCCTTCCAAGTAGCTGGAACTACAGTATGTGCTACCACACATGGCTAATTTTTTTATTTATTGTAGAGATAAGGTCTTGACAAGTTGCCCAAGGTGGTCTCAAATCCATGGCAATCCTCTTGTCTCTGGCTCACAAAGTGTTGGGATTATAGGCATGAACCACTGCGGCCAGCTGTGTCTCTTAATTAAAAAACAAAAACCATTCTTCTATCTTCAGTTTTTCTTAAGTTGGGAGTCTCACTCTGTTGCCAAGGGTAGAGTGCAGTGACATGCTCACAGCAACAGCAGCCTTGACCTGCTGGGCTTAGGTGATCCATCCACCTCAGCCTTCCAAGTAGCTAGAATTACAGACACGTGCCACTATGCCTGGCAAATTTTTTGATTTATTGTAGAGATGAAGTCTCACCAAGTTGCCCAGGCTGGTCTCAAACCCATGGGCTCCGGCAATCCTCTCACCTCGGTCTCCCAAAGTGCTGGGATTATAGGTATAAGCCACCGCGCCTGGCCCAGTTTCTTTTTCTTTTGTCTTTTCCAACGTTCTTTTTATTATCCTATTTGGTAGTTTAATATATGTCTACCATGAGGGTTTTAACAACATAGAGCCATTTAGTGGCTCTGAATGGCCACTATACCTGCCAGTGTTAATAATACCCAATATTGTTCTGGTGAAAATGACTTATATGTGTCGTCTCAATCTTATTGAAATGTCACCAATACAAGGAATCTTTGTCCATTTTTACTGTCCATTGCCATGTGTGAGATTCACAGGATAATGAATTTGTCTGGAAAGACTGTAAATAGGGTGTCTGAGTCAAATATACTATTGAAGTAGTGAGAGTGGCTAGATGACAACTTGCTAGGGTTTATGGCAATGGAATTTATGTGGCATATTGAAACACTGATCTAAAGTGTGAATGATGTTAAACTAGATGTTTCACTTTCTATAAAAAGAAAAGGAAAAGGACATACTCTTGAACCTGTGTGAATTCTGCCATCTAAGTGACTATAGGGTATACTGTAAGCTGGGGGTGGTCAAGGTTGTGTTTATTTGTGATCATTCAGAGACCAAGCCTCTAAGATGTATCTTATTGATGCAATTTTTACTAATGTTCCTCTGATTCTCATAGAGTCCTGTTATCACCTTGGCTCTAGGAGGATGAAAGTCAAAGGCTGCACTGGGTACTGTGGATTTTTGGTTAGGCCACCTGTGCAGAAAGGAAAACGGATGTTTCTTAAAATAGTTAACTTTGAATATTGGAATGTACATATCCAACAAACAAGGTTGTTGTATTAAGACTCTGAAAGGTTTCTGATGGTTTCACACCCTTAATAGAAACAGGCATTAGCATGGGAGGGAGGCCTCCTGTGGTAGTTGCACTTGTCACATTGTACTCCAACCTCTTGCTCCCTGATGTTCACCTGTTATCTCCACGCCCTTGGTGTAGTCTCCAGGATAACCTTTACTTGCCATGACGACAGTTAGGGCAGTGTAGTTTTCTAGCCAAACAGGCAGAGAGGAGCAAAGCAGGCCATCTAAAGTAGACTGAATCACCTCATAAAGATCACTTTTAAGAAGTGGGAGAATTACCTGGGAAAACAATCAACATGGCAACTGAGATAACTTTTAGTTTTTCTTATACAATATATTCATTGGGGGTATTAGCAGAACTTGCATGTATTTCCTAAAGGTAATCACTTCCAGGGTGATAAATTCTGAGATTAAAACAACACACATCTTCTAAAAAGTAATACTTGGTTATCTTTAACTATTGTTACCCACTTGGCACTCTGGATCCCCAAAACGGCAATTAAACTCCAAAACTTTTGGGCCATCCTTGGTCAGCATTATACCAGCATAGAGAACCCCTTTATTAAAAAAGAAAAAAAAAAGCAAGAGAGAGAAAGGAAATCAATAATGAAGAGTTCACATTATGACTGTAAAATCTATAGTATAGACTATTACTCAAAGTTTTAGAAATATCATAAATGTACAACAGTGGTCAGTTAAAAGGCAGTGAAAAATGGAAAAAAAGTTTTGTCAAAAGTGAACTTACGCTGGGCTTGGTGGCTCAGCCTGTAGTCCTGCGCCTTTGGGAGGCTGAGGTGAGTGGATTGCCTGAGCCCGCAGGTTCGAAATCTGCCTGGGCAACTTGGCGAGACCTCATCTCTACAAATCAAAAATTAGCTGGGCATGGTAGCGCACGCCTGTAATTCCAACTACTTGGAAGGCTGAGGCAGAAGGATTGCTGGAGCCCAGCAGGTCGAGGCTGTGGTGGCCGGGAGCGGCCACTGCACTCTAGTCTGGGCGACAGAGTGAGACTCCAACTCAAAAAAAAAACAAAAAAAAGGGACTTACTCTATAAATAATGCCCATAAAAAATATCAGTGTGCTTACCTGTGTATGGAGTACCCTCCTGCTGCATACCATCTACTGTCCTCTGAAGAATATCATTTTTAATTTTTAGTAATAAACCCTTAGAAACCTGGAGAATGTACAGAAATACTTAAATGTAACCAGTAATTAAAAAAATCATCTAATAAGTAGTATTACATGGGACAGTAAGAACTATCGTTTTTTTTTACTATCTAAAATAGGCTGAGCACTTTAAGCTTGAAGGATTTAAACTTTAAAAATCCTCACAATGACCCTATCAAGTAGATGTTTTCCCCTATGATTTACAAAATTATACACTCTCAAAAAGCTTGTCAACAAGTTTTATGAAATATAATAAAAATGAAACTAGCCCTCTCCCAGCATAAGGCTCCTTCATATCTTTCCAATATGCTCTCTGTATATTTCATAAGCCTACATGCTTATAAATCTGAGTTTATAAATTTATTTTAAAAATTACACCTAGTTGAGCTTGGTGGCTCAGCCTGTAATCCCGCGCATTGGGAGGTTGAGGTGAGTGGATTGCCTGAGCCCGTGGGTTCGAGACCCACCTGGGCAACTTGGTGAGACCTCATCTCTACAACAAATCAAAAAAACTAGCCGAGTGTGATAGTGAGTGCCTGTAGTTCCAGTTACTTGAAAGGCAGAGGCGGAAGGATCACCGGAGCCCAGCAGGTCGAGGCTGCAGTGGCTGGGAGCGGCTACTGTACTCTAGTCTGGGTGACAGAGTGAGACTCCAACTCAAAAACAAACAAACAAACAAACAAACAAAACTACACCTAAAGGGTGGGCATGGTGGCTCATGCCTATAATCCTAGTACTATGGAAGACCGTGGTGAGAGGACTAACTGAGCCCACAGATTTCAGACCAGACCGCGCAACTTGACGAGACTTCATTCCCACAATAAATAAAAAAATTAGTTGGCCATGGTGGTGACTACCTATAGTTGCCAATACTTGGAAGGCTGAGGTGGAAGGATTGTCTGAGCCAAGCAGGTTGAGGGTGCGGTGGCCATGAGCATGCCACTGCACTCCAGCCTGCACGACAGAGTGAGACTCCAACTCAATAAATAAATAAATAAATAAAATTACACCTAGAAATAGTTCTTAAAATCACTATTACCAAATGATAGTTCTATTTATAATAGCTTAATTCAAAAAGAAAACACAGAAAAAGGAAATCACTACTGATGACATTATGACTATAAAAGTTGCTATACAAACGTCTAATACTCAAAATTTGGAAAAATCATAAATGTTTAAAGAAATGAAGTTTGGTTTTTTTTACATCATTTAATCAAGGAAATATGTAAAAGGTACTACATTAACACAATTATGACTATAATCAACGAAAAGAATGGGAGAGTTTTTGGAGTGCTAACCTACTTTTGATAAGAGGTGGAACCCCCCCCAAACAAAATGTTTATTAAAAATTGCATTTTTTTTTTTTTGAGTTGGAGTCTCACTCTGTTGCCCAGGCTGGAGTGCAGTGGCACACTCACAGCAACCGCAGCCTCAACATCCTGGGCTCAGGTGATGCTTCTGCCTCACCCTTCCAAGCAGCTGGAACTACAAGCACGAGTCACTACATCCAGCTAATTTTTTGATTTATCGTAGAGACAAAGTCTCACCAAGATGCCCAGGTTGGTCTGAAACCCATGGTCTCAGGCAATCGTCTTGCCTCAGACTCTCAAAGTGCTGGGATTACAGGCATGGGCCATTGCATCTGGCGTATTTATTCTTACATATTTAACTTCAGTCAACATCAAAGTACTCTCTGATGCACTATACCTATTGAGGTGCTTTGTCTATTGCTCAAAACAGTTTTTGAATGTGTCAATGTTGATGCCTTTTAGCATTTTTGTCATTTGTTGTTGCACCTCTTCCACATGGGCCAAAAATTTCCCTCTGAGGACTTTTTTCATCGGGGAAATGAAAAATAGTTGCTTGGGGCGAGATCAGGTAAATAGGAAGGGTATATATGGAGGTCATGCTGTTTTTGGTCCAAAACTGCTGAACACTCAGCATAGTATGAACAGGTGCGCTAGTAAACCACCCATCATGAAATGGGCAAATATGCTGAAAGAATCTCCAAAAAATTTTCACTGAAGCTGAACATTACTTCTCATAATTATGCTAGCTGGTACACTGATGCCAATGGGTTCCTAGAACACTTACCTAGTAGGGGAAGTCTGTACTACAAGGGTTTTATCCTCCAAAAAATAATTTTTTTTTTAAGTACTCCCACATCATATACTCCAACAATGTGGATTTCTTATAAAAGCTGTCCAGAAATTGTTTGGAAACATACTTTATTTATATGCTATGGAGCAGAAAGATCAGAATAAGTTTTAATCTGACTTGTACTCAATTTATCACAAATACAAACCACTTTTGTGCTGGGTATCCAAAGATGAATACAAGATAACTCTAGACTGTAACAGGTTCCCATGGGTTAAAAATTGGGTGTAGAGAGTAAAGGATCTATTCATTCTGTAGTATACTTTAGGTTAGCTTAACTTAGTTTTTCAAAGGCTTTTAGAAAGGATTAGTTTTAGAGTCCAGAAGAGACCCTCTTCATTTAATCACTGATCAGCAATATAATTTACAGAAACAAAAAACCAAAACAAAATAAGAAAGCATTACCTAAGAGCTCTAAGAAGATGAAACAATTGCTGTAAGACTTGAGCAGAACCTATGGGAAGTACCTGAGGTGCTGGGCAATATGCTCCCATTCCTCCTGTGTTGGGGCCGCCATCTCCCTCCAGTAATCGTTTATGGTCCTGTGCTGGGGGCATGGGGGCCACAGTCTTCCCATCTGTGAAACACAGACACTGCAAAGAAAACAAAATAGTTCACTTATTGTGTTACTCGGGAGGCTCAAGTGGAAGGATTGCTTGTGCCAAGGAGGTCGATGAGTGAGTGAGACCTCAAGAAAAAAAAAAAATCAAGAGTAAATCCAGAACCAAATTCTTTTTTTTGAGTTGGAGTCTCACTCTGTCACCCAGACTGGAGTGCAGCGGCACGCTCCCGGCCACCTCAGCCTTGACCTGCTGGGGTCCGGTGATTCTTCAGCCTCAGCTTTCCAAGTAGCCAGAACTACAGGCGTGTGCTACCATGCCTGGCTAATTTTTTTGATTTATTGTAGAGACGAGGTCTTCGCCAAGTTGCCCGGGTAGGTCTCGAACCCGCAGACTGTCAGGTAATCCACTCGCCTGGGCCTCCCAAAGTGCTGGGATTACAGGTTGAGCCACCGAGGCTGGCCTTCCTTTTTTTTTTGTCAGAGACCCACTCTGCTGCCCAGGTTGGAGTTCAGTGGCACACTGACAGCCACTGCAGACTCGACCCGCTGGGTTCAGGTGATCATCCTCCTCAGTCTTCCAAATAGCTGGAAGTACAGGCTCATGCCACCACGCCCAGCTAATTTTTTGATTTATTGCAGAGCTGAGATCTTACCAAGTTGCCCGGGCTGGTGTCAAATCCCTGGACTCAGGCAATCCTCTTGCCTCAGCCTCCCAAAGTAGTGCTGGGATTGATTACAGGCTGAGGATCAAAAATTTTTTTTTCTTTTGAGTTGGAGTCTCACACTGTTGCCCAGGCTGGAGTGTAGTGGCATTTTCACTGCCACCACAGTGTCGACCTGCTGGGCTCTGGTGATCCTTCCGCCTCGGCCTTCCAAGTAGCTGGAACTACAGGCACGTACTACCACGCCTGGATAATTTTTTGATTTATTGTAGAGACAAGGTGGCACCAAGTTGCCCGGGCTGGTCTCAAACCTGCAGGCTCAAGCAATCCACTCGCTTCAGCCTCCCAAAGTGCTGGGATTACAGGCTGAGCCATTGATCCCAGCCTGAACTAAATTCTTAATAGTGTGAGGTATAAGTCCAAGTGCCCCCACTAAAAAACACCGGAGATGATTAAAATAGGATGAGTTTTTTAAAATTTGGATCCCAAATACTAAATGTATATAAATTCCTTTGCAACTGCTGGGTTTATGTTTTTAGGTGAAGCAATCAGAGTAAATCTTTTAGGGTGCACAAGTCAGAAAACATCTCATTTTCTATAAAAGCCCCTCACCCCCAAAAAGAATATACATACAGATACTTCTTCTCCTTCAAGAAGTTCTTCAATGACAATTGTTTCTCCAGCTGCTCCAAAGGCTTTCTCCTAATTGTAGGTTTAAAAATAAGTAAATAAAAGAGACTCAATAAGCTTTTACTTACACGATTTTTGTCATCTACCACTTCTGTTATAAACCAGTAAGTGACTTCTCTGTAACTTCTCTTTTCTGAAAGGCTGGAAGGAACATACAAATGTTTCCTATTTTTAATGTGGCAATGACACAGAGCTAACATTGGTATAGGTTACACGAACACATTACTAATCTGAGGATTTGGCTTTCCCATTCCAAATAAGTACAGGAAAAAACAGATGTTTTCATTATCACCATATACTTTTTACTTCTGATTATATAATTATCTATGTTTGCCTGTAATAACTATACTAAAGCATGCTTATGAAAGTAGATTTCTATAAGGGGAGAAAACCTGTAACAACCAAGAGGGATTACAAAGCATATTCATTCATTGCCTTATTTCTCTTAGACTTGGGACACATGGGACAAATGCTTTTGTCCTAAATGGATAGTTTGAGAATTTTTTTTATGATCTCTTCTGTTTTTCTGAGTTGAAGTCTCACTCTGTCGCCCAGACTGGGATGCAGTAGCACATTCATGGCCACCACAGCCTCAGCCCACTGGTGTCAGATGATCCTTCTGCCTCAGCCTTCCAAGTAGCTGGAACTACAAGTGTATGCCACCACACACAGCTAATTGTTTGATTTACTGTGGAGACGAGGTCTTGCTCCTGCACTCAGACAAACCCCTGCACTCAGACAATCTTCTTGCCTCCACCTTCCAAAGTGCTGGGATTACAGGCATGAGCCACCATGCCCCACTTTTTAAAAACGTTCTGAGAATTTTCTAACGTTCAGTAGCAGACAACAAAGGATGTTAGAATTTACTTCAAAAGAATGAAACGATAGTTTAGTCAGTGTAGCTCTGTAATAAACATTTTAGAGATGAATTATTAATATATACAGAATTATGAAAAATGTTTGCAACATGGGTTTTCCTTCTCTTGAGAAACATTTTATAAACTTAAAAAGAGTATTTATCCAGTGTGACTAGAAAATGAAACTTTTTCAGAAGAATCAACCTACCTGCATAATCTCCTGCACAGCTGTGCAGGCCTCTTCTTTGCTCTTTGCAACAGTTACCCCTTTCCCAGCAGCAAGACCACTGGCCTTCACAACCAAAGCAGGGAAGTCCGCACTGTAAAGACAGAGCAACCTTCAACATCAATAACCCTTTACAACTCAAAATTTTAAAATGCTTTGGAATTTTGCAATGATATGCTATAGCAACAGCTGAAAAGCAGAAAGAAAAAAATTACTTATTCCAATACCCTTTTGATGTACTTCCCACCAGGGTTTTTTCCTATGATTCCTTTTTACTTGCAATCATACTGTACACAGAATTTTGCATTTTCCACTTATCATGAGATCACAAAGGCAAAATCTTTGGAAGAATAAACAGATGTATAGAGTAGATATGATATACTCAAGATAAAAAACAGTGAATTGCACTCTTATTCAAGTAGAAGATGTGGTTGTATAAGACTACAGTAAGCATAGATACATACTCTCTGGAAGTACACATAAGAAATTATCATGTTTGGCCAGGTATGTAGCTCATGCCTGTAATCTCAGAACTTTGGGAGGCCGAGGTGAGAGGATCACTGGAGGCTATGAGTTCAAGACCAGCCTGGGCAACATAACAAGACTCTGTCTCTATAAAAAATAAATAAATAAAAAAAATGATCAAGTGGGACTGGGGACTCGGAAGATTTATTCAAGGTAAGTAACAAAACTGTTACTTACCCAAGGCATCTGGCTACTAGGAAATATTATTATTCAGTGCCTAAGAAACCCTGTAGGATAAAGAATGAATAAAGAATGAGATGGACCCAACTGAAAGGAAAACATACAAGATAGTAGGAAGAAGTGTCAACAAAAAAAGAGCAAAAGCATGTGTCTATCAACATTCATTAATTGCTCAATGCTTTTCATATAATCAAGAACAAAAAATGCTTTATTTTAAGATTTAGAATTGGAGTAGTGGTGGCAAACAACTAAGTAATGATTCCTGATTTGGTTAATTATTTAAGACAAAAATCAGTATCTTTTTTTGTTTTTTTTTTGAGTTGGAGTCTCACTCTGTTGACCAGACTGGAGTGCAGTGGCTGCTCCCAGACATCGCAGCCTCGACCTGCTGGGCTCCGGCGATCCTTCTGCCTCAGCCTTCCAAGTAGCTGGAACTACAGGCGCGCACTACCACGCCCGGCTGATTTTTGACTTATTGTAGAGATGAGGTCTCGCCAAGTTGTCCAGGCAGGTCTCAAACCCGCAGGCTCAGGCAATCCACTTACCTCAGCCTCCCAAAGGTGCAGGATTACAGGCTGAGCCACTGAGCCCAGCTAAAAATCAGTATCTTTTATGTTGTAAGATGTCCACTGTATTCATCAATTTCATTGCAACAAGAGCACACAATGACATACCCAACTGTATTTTTCACTCTAGGAACTACTTGGTAATAAATATAAAAAATTTCATATTTCTGCAAAGTCATAAAATCACATAAACTGTATATGCATAGAATTTCATTTTATTTTGACACTGGAAAATGACAACCTACCTAATACTTACCAAGAATTTTTTTTCCATAATTATCTTACTATAAACTTGTGACAGTCTGAGGATCCAGACATTACATTTTCAACATAAAAGAGACTTGCATATTTAAATATCATAACAAAACAACTGCCCTTCACAGGCAGTCTTCTACCTACTTCATAATGAAGTTGCAGGCTTCTTCAGGTTTGGTGAAAGCTTTCCATTGTGCTGTTGGGATTCCATGTCGGTCCATAAATTCTTTAGCAAATCTTTTGCTAGACTCTAACTGAGCAGCTTCTGCTGTGGGGCCAAAGCATCGTACTCCCGCAGATGTCAGGTTCCCAACAATTCCTATTGATGCAAACAGTAGCCTTTGGTCAACCAAGTTCTCTCTAATGGATTCTTTCAACTGAAGACAAAAAAGGTTAGACTACACCAACATTTAGAAAAGGCAGATGACTAGTATCAGAGGATAACCAAAATTGTTAATTTTGTCCACAAAATATACATAAAATTTTACTAACATGTGACTTAAATCTAAAAAAAGCTATTTGTAATATTTGAAAATATAGATTTTTTTTTTGCGTTGGAGTCTCACTCTGTCATCCAGACTGGAGTGCAGTGGCTGCTCCCGCCCACCGCAGCCTCGACCTGCTGGGCTCCGGTGATTCTTCCGCCTCAGCCTTCCAAGTAGCTGGAACTACAGACGCGCGCTACCACACCCAGCTAGTTTTTAATTTATTGTAGAGATGAGGTCTCGCCAAGTTGCCCAGGCGGGTCTTGAACCCACGGACTCAGGTAATCCACTCACCTCAGCCTCCCAAGGCACAGGATTACAGGCTGAGCCACCGAGCCTGGCTAGATTTTGTTTTTGAGTTTGAGTCTCACTCAGTCACTTACGTTGGTCTCAAACCCACGGGCTCAGGCAATCCTCTTGCTTTGGCCTTCCAAAGTGCTGGGATTACAGGCTTGAGCCGCCATACCCGGCCAAATATAGAGACTATTAAACAGATACCAGAACAGAGCAGAATACAGACATGCAAAATGTTTCCCATGGCTGTAAATCTGGTCTCTAACTCATCACGTTACTAATGTTGGGGGAGAAAAAAAAATCACTATCTATAAATTTTATTTAATTAACAAAAATTTTTTTTTGAGTTGGAGTCTCGCTGGTGCTGAATATATCCCAACAATAAACAGAAATGAACGTTACCGGCAGCCAAAGGTGCCTCTGGTCCAACAACTACAAATTCAATTTTCTCATCTTTGCAGAATTGAGCAAGAGCAGTGTGGTTACTGATCGAGATGGCTGTGAACAGAAAAACAAACACAATTATAAAACATTCTATTTAAGTGAATTAAATATCTTGCCAAAAACTAAGTACCATAGTATGTCTGCTAACTGTTGTTTTTTGTTTTGTTTTTTTTGAGTCAGAGTCTCGGTAGCCCAGGCTAGAGTGCAGTGGCACATTCACAACCACTGCAGCCTCAACCTGCTGGGCTCAGGAGACCCTTTAGCCTCAGTCTTCCAAGTAACTGGAACTACAGGCACGTGCCACCATGCCTGGCTAATTTTTTGATTTATTGTAGAGATGAGGTCTCACCAAGTTGCCCAGGCTGGTCTGGAACCTGTGAGCTC